CCCCGGGTTTCCGTCAACCTGATGTTCTACTTCAAACAAAAAAATTGCACCAAATTAGCCAATAGACACTCACTCATTTGCAAACTAATTTGGTTTTTCGAGAGACTCACCTGACAGCCGGCCGCATCTCTCGGTTTTGATGTTTCCACGCAACAGAATGTGCTGCACCAGGCCGCCTCATGTTTCAGTGGCTACGATATAATATCGCGACTAATTTGGTTTTTCGAGAGACTCACCTGACACCCAGCCGCATCTCTCGGTTTTGATGTTTCCAGGCAACAGAATGTGCTGCACCAGGCCGCCTCATGTTTCAGTGGCTACGATATTCCAAATATCGCGATACATATATATTTTTGTAGTGCACTGCTCATAAGGTTGCTGGGCTGTCGAGGGGTATTCAGCGACCTTATGAGTAGTGCATTACAAAAATATAAATGTGCGAAATCGAATTTTTTATCAAGTAAACAGGAGATTCGCTTGCAATTGAGAAACTTGCGAACGTGGCAATCAACCGATTTACCGATTGTCGGATACACAAGTGAGAGATCGAACCAAAAACTTGCATTTTTTCGTCCCAACAAGTTCTCTCTTCATAACTGTTGACAAGATAAGCTTTGTGTCCTGTTGACGTGGTTTCAATCTTAGGAGACAGTCAGCGAGGTTGTGGAATCCATGTACCACAGTTCACCTTCAGACATCCCATTTTTCCGTTCGCCAGAAATTGAGGCTTTCTGTCATCGACATGGCAGAACCAGTCATTGCCTCCCATAGATGGGTTCTTATTTTCGCTTTCAAGTACTGCAATTATGTTTCAATCTCACCGAACTCAAGTTATCCGAATTTGCCTGGTTCCAGTCTCACTAGTCAGCGCTCTATGGATCATGGATTTTACAAACCGCACTTTTTTCATTCGATTAGCTTACTGTCCAAGGTCCCTTTCTCACACTACGCGGGCCACCAGGCGACAGACCAGCGTTGAGAACGCTGAGTCAGACAACTTCTGATCAAGCGAAACAGGCACGCTCCACTTCATCAGCCGAATAAAAGGCGATCGATGGATAAGCTGAACTCCTTTGGACATCGGCACGTGATTGGCTAGTTGGTTTTATCAGCCAGCTGGGTAAGCTCATGCGCGTGAATGTCTGTTTGTGGTCGTGGGCCTGTGACGGCAGTGTAGACCACGTGCTTGCTGTTCGACTGGAGCAATTACAACGGGTTACAACTAGTTGCCTTGATTTATTTTTTATTCCCGTCAAAGAAATGCAACAAACGAAGAGTTGGGTAGATAAGCGGTAGTTTTTACGAGGCTCCTCTAAAACGATGACCTGTCAATCGGTTCCAAAATTTTTCCTATTGATTGAAAGCTCACGTTTCGTTTGACCGACACACAACTTGGGCTCGTTTAAGTAGACTTGGTCACCAACGCTTCATCAGTCTTGTTTCATACTTTAACGCCAAGTTATCTGTCGTTCGCCAGAAATTGAGGCTTTCTGTCATTAACGTGGCAGAACTAGTCACTGCTTTCCATAGATAGGTTCTTATTTTTTCTTTCAAGTACTGCAATTATGTTTGAATCTCACCGAACTCAATTTGTCCGAAGTTGCGTGGTTCCAGTCTCACTAGTCAGAGCTCTAAGGATCGTGGATTTTACAAACCGCACTTTTTTCATTCGAGTAGCTTACTGCCCAAAGTCCCTTTCTCACACTACGCGGGCTACCAGGCGACAGACCAGCGTTGAGAACGCTGAGTCAGACATCATCATCAACGACAGCATGACATCAGTGCTCAACACCAATGCTTCACTGCCGTACAGCCATGACTTATTTGAAAGCCTTATTGTAAAGAAAAG